TAGGATGTGTGCAGTAACTCCGTGCACAGTGCACGTGCTGAAGGGGTTTTATTTTAGAAGTGATCCCATTCATAAAGCGCTCTACAAATTAGTAAAACAAGTTCTGACATATATTCAGCTGAACTAAATATAAATTACAAACGATGTTGTTCAATAATGCATTAAGATCTTTTGTCCCACGAGACAAAATGAATTTTAAAAAGAAAAGCTTTGGTTTTAAGAGTGTGAATCAATGCCCATGAAGCTCAGTCATGGGTAACTTCACCGGGTTCAAGATTAGGCCTGTGCTCCACGTATTTTTCAGTATGAATATATTAAAATAAATCAGGTGGCCCCTGTTCTTGGGGAGTACTACTGTTGTAGGCTTCTTAAATCCCAATAGGAAGGAGGGGGCTCAACTCCGCGCCTGGGCTTGGGCGACACGCGCTGCAGCTCCAGTCCGTCCTGCTGTTGGGCTGCTCTCCGCATGGATTCGTTCCCATCCGTGCCCTGTGTAACACAGGGATGATAAACGGGAGGTCTGTTAAGGCATAGATTAAGCATTATAAAAAATAGATTTCCCCGAAAAATCTATCCTTTAAAGTAGAGCTTGAACTCTGGCAATTTATCTGTTCCCTGTGCTAAGGTCTGTTTTGGCCACAGGCGAGCGGGCTGGGGAGCGCGCGGAGCGATCCGTGTGCGCGGAGCGCCGTGGGAATGGAGAGCTTCGTGGGAGCACCGGGGGGAACGCCGGCCGCTCCTCAGGAAACGCCGGAGAACTGCAGGCTGCAAAGGGCTGGCTCCTGTCAGCTGGTGGTGTTGCAGGTCACTGCAGCCGCTGCTTTGCCTATTTACAGCCCTGTATTGGCCTTTGGAGTGGCAGTTTGTGAGTAACGCATGGGATGTGAGTCCTGGTTTCACCCGTCCAGGTAGGACTTGGGGAACACTGCATTTATTATTTATGATTAGATTGGAATTGGGAATTTTAAAGAAGAGAAACCTGTGAAGTTAGCGAATGGGATTCATGTAATTAAAGATTGCTTTTTTATTTGCCTGTCATCGTCGCATTTGCTTTGGTGTCCTGGTGTGCCCCGGGGACCCATGTCCAGCAGAAGGCCGGGCTGCTGGTCAGTTAGGGATGCAGGAATCCCGCTATCTTATGTGGGTGTTTAAGGGTGGCCGTGCCAGGTGGACATCCCAGATAACCCCGGCGGGCCCCGTCCCCCTTCCCGCGGGGGCTCGTCCTTGCGAAGCCCCTGTTGTTGCTCCGTCGAGGCGCAGGTTGCTGGTGCTTGCAGGTGACAGCAGGATGGATCCGTGCGTGAAGAAGGAGCGAGGCCCTCAAAACGCCTGGTCAGTCTTCCTGGGCTCCAACAGCGCTCCGAAACTTCATAGGAAAGGACAGGTTTATCCTCCCCTTCTCAGGACTTTGTGCAATAAAATTTGCCTCAGCTTCATCACAAAATGCGCAGAGCACGTGTGGGGTGCCTAGGGTCTGTACGGCTCTTTCTCCAGTGTTATCCCAGAGCAGGCTGTTTTCTGTTCATATTGAGAGCTCATGCGGGATTATGACATTAAACCAAATCCTTGGAGTTTATTTCACATTTGTATTCCAAATCAATCTATTGCAAAGATTGCTTTTTTATGACCATGAAGTACTAAAAAGCACTAATATTTATTCCTTAAAGGTTATGATTGCCTTAAATCATTCAAGCTTATTTGAGGAGCAGAAGATATAATTAAATGAAGCAGTTGAACTTTGGTCTGCACTTATGACATAACTAAAATATGTATGTGCTTGACTGAAATAGGGTGTGAGCTGTGAGCCAGCTGCTTGCATCGCGTTGGAAGCCGCACGGTGGTTTTTTCTGTTTGTGAATATGGATGTAAATCCGGCTGAAAAAGCAGCTGCGAATGGTAGAGGGTCAAGTTATGTTTCAACATGCAACGTAATGTCACCACGGTGAGCAGGGTGCTCTCCAAGGGCCTCCATGGGGCGCGAGGAGGTACCCGAGCGCGCGGTGCCCGCTGCGGGCGCACGGAGGGAGGCTCTGCGCTGGGGGTTGCCATGTTTCAACACGCAACGTAATGTCACCACGATGAGCAGGGTGCTCTCCAAGGGCTCCGTGGGGCGCGAGGAGGTACCTGAGCGCGCGGTGCCCGCTGCGGGCGCGCGGAGGGAGGCTCTGCGCTGGGGGTTGCTCCTCTGCATCTGCTCTGGTTGGGCCTGGCGCACGCCGTGGTCCCCTGGGCGCGTGAGGTGCAGTACGGACCGTGGGATCCGGGTGCTCGGCTTCACTCGAGTGGTTTTCTCGCCTGCATTCTGCATCAGTTTTCAGTAAACTGCAGCTTTCCTCCACCGGATCTTGCAAGAGGCACGGAACCAAACCATGGTGGCACCGGGCTAGGGGCCAGGCTAAGGAGCTTGTCCAGAAGGCAGAGGCCTCTCTGTGCCCAGCCTGCCCCGTCGGGCACGTTCTTCAGCAGCCGGGGCAGGTGGGGACTAAATGGTGCTAGGCAAAGCTGGGGGCAAGCCCGAGCCTGGGGCTGCCAACACACGCAAAGGTGGCCGAGGAGGAGCCCGTCTCGGAGCCTGCTCTCGGAGCCCGCTCTCGGAACCAGCTCTCGGAACCCGCGGTGTTTCTGCCTTGGTTGTTGTCTTTAAGGATGCCATTCCGGGTAGCCAGGTGCAACCAGCCGGCCAATCCGGGTACTCCCCATCCCAGCCTGTGCCCGCGTAGCAGCGAAGCGTTGGGTATCGCGCGCCTTGCCCAGAGCATGGGGCCCAGCAGAGCAAGGAGCCCTTGGTCTATCTCTGCTGGCTCTGGAAGCGGTGGGATGTGGGAGTAGGAGAAGCCAGGGAACACCAGCCCAGTTCTGCAAAACGCCATCGAAGAATTCATTGTGTAGCAATGCGTATCTAGGGTGCGTATATAAATCCTAGTTTAAGGAAGGGTCCCCATCTGTATGGGAGTCAGAATTTTGCTGTAGTCGTATCCTCATCCAAGTGCCTGTACTTGACACATGTCTACATCTGTCGGCAGAGCGGGGTGGGCTGTTTTGGATGCTCTGCCGCATGCAGATCGCTCCGTATAATTAGAGGCGCCTCACACTCAAATGTCAGAAACTTTGTGAAAATCAGTGGTTCCTCAGAGCTTCCTCAGCTCCAAAGAGCCCATCAAAATTGAGGCTTTTGCCAGGGGATTTGACAGAAGCAGAAGGGAAGAGAGCCACTGCTGCCCGAGGCTTGAACAGCAGCTCGAGCAGAAGGTGGTTCAGTGTCCTGGAGATGCCCAGAGCGCCTCCAGGTGCGGTGCTGGCTGCAGAAGGCTGCTCAGCCAGCGGCACGCTGCCCTGCTCCTGCGAGGGCTCCATTGACCGCTCCTCCTTCAAAGGAAACGTGGCTTAGAGCTATCACAGTGCACTAAAGGCACATCCTTGCTCAAGCTGCTGGTGGCCTCTAGCAGGAATTTCTCTTTTTTGGTCTAATAGCTAAAAAGGAGGAGAAATAACAAAAAGCTTCCTGCCGTGGTGTTTTCGTGGCGCGGGTTGCCCG